TCTCTCTCTCTCTCTTTCTCTGTCTCTGTCTCTTTCTCTCTATCCCTTTCTGGCCCTCTTTGCCCCCCCCCCACTCTCTCCCTCTCGCCCTCTGTCTCTATCTGTCACTCTGTCTGCCTCAGTCTGTCTCTGTCTCATATCTATGTCTCCTCTCTCTCTCTTTTTTTCTTTATATCTCTCCCTCTTTCTCTCTATTTTTTTTTCTCTCTCTCTCTTTCTCTCTCGACATTGTTGAACTGTTGTGACCCTGTCTTGTCAACTCAAAAAACAAAATTCTTTGATGTTGATTGGCAACAGCTGCATTGATTAGTTTCATAATGAAGGAAGTTAAAATATTATCATGTCTGGCCAAAATAAAAACTAAGTTCTGAAAAGCACCTAAGTTTATTCTTCAGATACAGAAACTACAGTATCTTCCCCAATCTGCGAATTGCCGGTCTGATGACGTTAATGATCGCGGCTTGTTTGGACACATTTGGAAGATTAATTAAGTTGTTAAAATTCGACGCGTTCATAATTGAGTGCTTCCATGGGTGAAGGTAGACGGCTGTGATCTTGGTCGGCCATGAGGAGAAAAAGACGATACTTTAAAAGCCTTCAATGACTTTTATCACGTCACAGGGAATAGTTCGTGTCTGAAAGCACGGAAGATAAAGGGTTCTAAATTTATACGTGCTTTAATGTGTCCCTCGCGCTCATATGACCTTATGCATATTTTGCGAGCGCCGTAAACATTAAAAGAAAAAAGTATTTTTTTAGACATCATTAAAAAAAAAATGTTTATGCCATGATAATGATTGAAGTGTACTTTGAGGATGAAGAATTAACTCTACAGGAAGGGTGGTTCAATCTAAATCGAGGGTGTCCAAATTTGTTCAGGAGTGCTATTTCATTGCTTGTTGTAAGCACTGTTTTCTGAGCGTACGCTTCTTTAAACAAAACAGAAAAAAACCAAACTTATAATCGATCAATGAAAAACGAACTTGTGCAGCCCCTCCTCCATTAATTAGCAACGCTTCGCCTACAAGAGCTGCGGGGCCTGGTTGGTGGGTGTATGGACGCACGCGCGTGACACAGGCTTAGAGTGAGTCCCAGTTTCAGCGAATATCTGCTTTCGTCGAGGCGGGAAGAGGTAGATAGACCTCTGCGTCCGATGCGCGTGCTCTCTCCCACCGGTGTTCTCTGCTTAGGGTCTGTGACTACTACTGAGAGTGAAGTGGTTAGCTTCAGGACTTAGGGTGATCGGCGGCTGTCTCTTCTTTGACGAGACACTGTTCCACCTACCTGAATATCTTTTTGTTGTCTTGCTTGAGTTTGTGATCGAGCCTTATGTCTGTCTGTCCGTCTGGATCCACACGCGCGCTTCTTCATTGTGTTCGCGCTTGTTGAGTGAGACAGACTGGCGCATTTTCTTAGTGTGGATGACCATAGCGCGAATTTGAGCAGTGCGGGATATCCAGAGATTTTATTCTAGCGTGTGTTCAAGCGGTTATTATTGGTGCTGTTTGTGGACTTCCTTGTCGCCGAACCTTTTGGTGTTTTTTTTTCTCTCCAGGCATATCCAGCTTTTCTATTGAGACGCTATCAGGTGAGTCACATAATACCCC